CCGGGCCCGGGTTGTGATGTGTTTTTCTTTTGGCTGAATGCCTGGAGATAAAAAGGTTCTGGGTAATTTTTGGAATAACAAGGGGAGCGGCAGACACGAGTGTGTCTGTCCATTGTTGAACTGTGAGTTTTAGACCATCTTTCATGAGCTCTGAAAGGTGGCAGCTGATGGACGAGCAGATTCATCTCGTAATACATACGTGGATTTTCTTTCTGGAAAACTCCACTAGAAAGGAGGATTTGTCATGCAGAGTTCCGCTGAGGCTGAAGAAAGAGCCAAAAGGAGAAGGAAAGTGGCATATTCCCTCATAAATTCTGATCCAGAACTCTAGAGGGCCGAATAAGTATAATGACGGAATAGAAGATATTTGAAATGTACACATATATATCTCTTTTATATGTCAAAGACCTCACAAAATCAGTGTTATAATTGGACTTAAATTACAGATACAGATTGGCTTGATGAGCAGGAGATAGAAAAAGAGGTCAATAAGGATAGGCTGAAAAGTCTATTCAGGGATCCCAATTGAACGAGCACGTCCCATATCTCCTGACCAATTGTAGAAGAAACATACAAATTGAAAAAAAAATCACACAAATTGGAAAAAATTGAAGAAATCAAAACAAGAATTAAAATAGAAGACTGCTGACTGACTCCAGTGACTGACTTCGACTTCAAACACGTGTGAAAGGGTATACCATTGTGTGATGAAAAAGTGAAGTGTGTGGGTTGATTGGATGTTTGTGTGTGTCTGTTTTGTTCTGTGTCAACTAGGTTCTCTGGCAGTGTTCACAGTCAGACTCTGCATCTGTTTGTGTGTTATGCTAGTCAAAGATTGCTGTGTTTTCCTCACTTGTGTTTATTTCATAGTTGTTTATGTGAATACTGTGCTCATTGCGGTCATGTTATCAGTTGAGACATAGAAGGTTAAATACTCCTGGGAAAGAGTTTCTTTTCCCAGTACCATGATGAACACTCCTGATATGAAGGTTTTAGCTTATGCTTAGATATTATGATGTTTTTTTGTTGTGAACACGTCTTATGCTCCTTAACAAATTTTCTGTGTTTAAGTTGCTGAAATAATGTTTGTAAAAGTATAAAAGATACAAAAAGGGGAAAAAGAAATGAGGTACCACAAGTGCAAAACTTCTAAAATTTCAAATCTAAGAGTTGCTTCTATACATCTGCTGTTTTTGCCAAAATACTGTGTTTTTTAAATATTATTGAAGCTGTTAATATCAATACTGACTATTGCTATAGAACTGCAGTTAACTCTTCCGGAACCTTCGGGCTTTTAACAGCCAATTTATGATAGAACAAGAGACTAATTTGGATATAACTTTTTTTTTACTGCAGCAAATGTGATGAATTTTTTTTTCTAAGCTTAATTTGACATTTTATTTGAAAACATGAATTCAAAATTTTCACCAGGTCAATAATAAAGCCAGGACAGAAAAACTCCCTTGAAAGTCCCTCGTGGCTGTTGAAAGCCACTTGTTTTGTCGGCTGTAAAATCATATTGGATTAATATTTTTTTCTGATTTTTTTTCATACATTTCTTATTTTACTTCTGCCCTGTTCAAAACTAGCAAATGTTTCATTGAAAATAAAAATTTTAACCCTTTAAGGGCCAATTTAAGACATAAAGTCACAAATTTAGCAAAAATTAAAGGAAAATGACCCATTTTTTTAATAAAACATGATCAGAAACTGGTAATCTCTTGCAGGGTATTAAAGTCTTAAATATGTCAGCGATTAGTAATATAATTTACTTATATGCATTTTCAGTTTTTCTGTAGCATCAGATTTAATGAAAAACTGCGTTTGGCGCCTCCCAGTGGCCAAAACTATCTTTTCTGCTGTAAAATCATATTGGATTAATATTTTTTTCTGATTTTTTTTCACACATTTCTTATTTTACTTCTGCCCTGTTCAAAACTAGCAAATGTTTCATTGAAAATAAAAATTTTAACCCTTTAAGGGCCAATTTAGGACATAAAGTCACTTAAAAAGCAAAAAAAAATGGAAGGAAAAATTTAAGGAAAATGACCAATTTTTTTAATAAAACATGATCAGAAACTGGTAATCTCTTGCAGGGTATTAAAGTCTTGAATATGTCAGCGATTAGTAATATAATTGAATTCAATGCATTTTAAGTTTTTCTGTAGCATCAGATTTAATGAAAAACTGCGTTTGGCGCCTCCCAGTGGCCAAAACTATCTTTTCTGCTGTAAAATCATATTGGATTAATATTTTTTTCTGATTTTTTTTCATACATTTCTTATTTTACTTCTGCCCTGTTCAAAACTAGCAAATGTTTCATTGAAAATAAAAATTTTAACCCTTTAAGGGCCAATTTAAGACATAAAGTCACTTAAAAAGCAAAAAAAAATGGAAGGAAAATTTTAAGGAAAATGACCAATTTTTTTAATAAAACATGATCAGAAACTGGTAATCTCTTGCAGGGTATTAAAGTCTTGAATATGACAGAGATTAGTAATATAATTTACTTATATGCATTTTCGGTTTTTCTGTAGCATCAGATTTAATGAAAAACTGCGTTTGGCGCCTCCCAGTGGCCAAAACTACTTTGTCTGCTGTAAAATCATATTGGATGAATATTTTTTTCTGATTTTTTTTCACACATTTCTTATTTTACTTCTGCCCTGTTCAAAACTAGCAAATGTTTCATTGAAAATAAAAATTTTAACCCTTTAAGGGCCAATTTAGGACATAAAGTCACTTAAAAAGCAAAAAAAAATGGAAGGAAAAATTTAAGGAAAATGACCCATTTTTTTAATAAAACATGATCAGAAACTGGTAATCTCTTGCAGGGTATTAAAGTCTTGAATATGTCAGCGATTAGTAATATAATTCACTTCAATGCATTTTCAGTTTTCCTGTAGCATCAGATTTAATGAAAAACTGCCTTTGGCGCCTCCCAGTGGCAAAAACTACTTTGTCTGCTGTAAAATCATATTGGATTGATATTTTTTTCAGATTTTTTTTCATACATCTCTTATTTTACTTCTACCCTGTTCAAAACTAGCAAATGTTTCTTTGAAAATAAAAATTTTAACCCTTTAAGGGCCAATTTAAGACATAAAGTCTCTTATGAAGCAAAGAGGTCATTTTCCTTCCTTTTTCCAGCCACCTCTAAGGAAGACACTGCAAAAGAGACCCAGCGATGCAGACCGTGCAGATGCTAACTGCGGTAAAACCTGTGACAGTAACCTGTTTAATCACCTGATGTGAATGTTTATCCTCAGACAGAACCCTGCTCCATAGAGAGGATATATCCCGGCAGGGGGAGAGAGTGGAATTCTGACGGACGTGTGACGTCTACAGACCTGCTGGGGATGTGATCATACCAGACATTTTTGACAACTGCCCAGACCAGGGACGTCTCTGGCTGGATCTGTGGTGGGGGGCCCCAGCCCAGACAATGTGAAAGTGGTGGCTTACTACAGTGTGATTTTTGTGGATGATGGAAAAAGTTAATTGTTAGTTTTAATTTTAACCCTGTTGACCTTATAGACCGAAAAGACCTATGTAGAAGTAACATTCAAATTTGGTGCTCACCGCAAGGTGTGTAAGTAGACAGTTATGGTTTATAGTTTTAAGTAAATATCGTGACATTAGCATTGTAACATTCCTGTTCTGTTAATTTTATACTGATAAATCTAAATGCAGCTGTGCTGAATCCGCATACACTCCTCACAGATGTGCCACCTAATGTAAAAGTAATAGGAAGCTATCAAAGGTCAATAAGGCCACAGAAAATGGTTTAGAGTCAAATAACTAGTTTTTGTACCAGTAGTATTAACAAGCGAACTTAGGATCTGACTTTCACAGTGATTCACACTGTGCAAGAGGGGAGATGATGAGACAATTAAAACAACATTTTTAGAATATGCTGACAATAGCTGATAAACTCTTGGGTCATTGTGATATGTGTTTTTTTAGATGAATTGAAGAGAACAATAAAACAGTAGCGGGACACTTTTCCAGTTCCAGAGAGACGCTTTTAGAAATCTATTCATAGACAATGTGGACATGATTAAAACTGCCAAGGGATATGTTACATGTTTGTAATGATGACGGGTTCAGTCGATGGATAGAAGCAACACCATCAAAAGATCTTGGAGTCAAAATAAATCTGTCACTGCATGATTTGGTACATCATTTTGGGGAAGAAAGTTAATCTCTCAAGTAAATATCAGATCAGAGAATTTGCACTAACACTAACTTATAGGAAGATGCTTTGCTACTTGCGCTTATGAGCTTTCACAATCAAAAGCACTGGGATAAATCTTTCACTGCATGAATTGCTAACTTACAAAGCTATGCTGTACTGCGGCTAAATAATTAATTTTTTCGCTTGAGCAGCTGAAAATTAGTGAATTAAATATATGAGGCAGCTAACTACGATGCAAAGATCTATCGATTAGCAGGAGGAGTGCCAAAATCTGATCCCAGTCAAGAGGTGGAGGCCAGTCGAGCCAGAGCACCAGGTGTACATCACCGTCCTTTGAGGAGGGTGGCAAAAAGAACGAGGAGAAGACCTGAACACTTTGGTCCTGGTGAACTCTACTTCAGTGCAAGAAGAGGGCGTCATCTACCGCTGACTGCCCAGAAAAAACAAGGGACAATGTGTGGAGAGAGACTGAGAGAGAGACTGATGACAACAATGAGGGTGAAGGTCAAACTGGTGCCAGTACAGCTGTGAGAAGAAGAAGTGGGAGACATTGTTATCGCGGAAAAAAAGGAGAGAGCCAGTTAAGGACGAGCTGGTTGCGAAACCAGTGGTGCCAGGTGACCAAGGGTACGTCAAGGTCTTCCGCAGGAAGTGGCACGAACCACGACGGGAAGGACCGTACACGGTGGTGCGAGCTACTCCACAGCAGTCCAGGTCGAAGGGAGTGGGACGTGGTATCACCTGTCACACTGCACGAAGGTTCCAGGCAAAACCAAGGGCGGTATTGAGTTGTAAAACAAAGATGAAAAACATGACATTGTGGTGTGTGCTGGTGGTAATGAACTCTCTTCTACGGATGCCTGTAGAAGCAGTGGAGCTAGAAACTCAAAGGGGAAAACAGAGCACCCCGGGGACCAGAGCCACGCCAGAGACCAACCCGCACGGCAGAGGAGACAGAGCATCTGAATCAGATGAGTATGATGCAACCACACAGACACCAATCCATGACGTGCTAAACTCTGAGCCAGCACTCTCGGATGAGCTCAAACACATAAACATTCTGTACCAAGTGGTGTATGGACGAACACGGGGTAAAAGAGCTATACACAAAATGTGGCGGTGGCGTGCTAGCATGGACATACCCGATAGCATGCAAAACAGAAGCATAACATACGGGGTAATGGTCGTGTCACGAGAGTATGTGCGAACCCAATTGTGTGGAGTGAGGAAAGGCAGTGAGGAACAAGCATGGGGGCAGGACGCTTGTCAAATCACTCTGAAGGTGAAAGGGAAACTTGAGATTATCGTCAGGTTAACAACTCATTTCAGTCCAAGTAAGACTTATTATGCTGTCGTGCGCCTGCGTGGGAATGGTGAGAGCAAAGAGGTCCAAGCATCATTGACACTAGACAGAGAGGAAACACTCGATCCAGGAGTTTTACATGCAGCACCACTTAAAAGCGAAATGATTAATGGGAAAATAAGACTACACATTCCGCCACAGACAGTATCAAACAGTCTATATAGGCGAGATGTGTGGGTGCTGGAAGTTGAGGAAGTTGAGACCGAAATGACAACAAATGTACTTTGCGGTCGGACCCATCAGTATAATAACATTGTGACGGTGTGGGGTGGAGCTGAGTGTGGGTTAACAGTATTCGAAGAGGCAGGCCAATGGTTAGCTGAGCTCGATGAAAACAAGTTTAATCCAAACGAAACCTACATCCTCGAACTTACGACCGAAGGTTCCCATTCAATGACTCCGGCTCCGGTAGAGAATCGCCATTCAAATACAGTAATTCCAACAGAAGTTCGCCGCTCGGCCGCGCCAAATCCGAGAACTGTAAATTCAGTCGCACCAACTCCGGTAGGAAATCACAACCCAGTCATAGTAACTACAACAGAGGCTAAATTGAGTGAGGTGTTCACATTAGCAAACATGCCAAGCACATTAGCAAACATGCCAAGCACACCAACAACACCAAGTGAAACGACCCCAGATACACTGTACGACGAGTACGATGATTACGGCAGTGCAGAAGCGCCATTAATTAGCGATGATAGTCCAGGTAAAGTGGTAAGTTTTGACAGGCCCATGCAGAGAAATGTAAGATCGTACTCAGATAAACTTTGGGAAGAGGCCAGTGTGAATGGGTGGTACCAATAGGCTATGTATACCGTAAAACAGATGACCCCTAGTGAGTGCATCATGTGTGCTGAAGCGCCAACGGCACTTCCCACAGTAGTACCAGAGAAATATACGCACGAAGAATGCGCTAAAGTTCAACAGCAAAAGTGTAGAAGCGGTGAGTTCACTCCCAAGCCGCAGTTGCCATCACTCTACAGGCTTCCAATGTGTGGTGTTCGGTGTCGGCTTCTGTATGAGTCGGGATCTCATCATGGGTATTTAGAAACGTGCGTAGACTGTAAATTTCGCCGGACATGTGAAGAATTCGCCACCACAACGTCACAAGACGAGCCCCCTACAAACTACAAAGTAGACGAAACGGATAATTACGAGTGTTTCGCCAGTGGAGGGTTTATGAATAAACCAGGGGGAGGAGTCCAGGTGGGAAACACAACTGTTAATTGTAAAATTACGTGGGTATTGTCATGGTTTCCTGAAGCTAATATGAGCGAACCGTTTATAACTAGACCTGTTTGGTTTGAAAATCCAGAGCAAACGTTAGATCAAACATGTGAAAACATAACTATGACCAGACCGAGTATGCATTTTTTCGCAAGTCAAACTGTTGCAGTAGCTGACAGTTACTGGATGTGTGGAGACAACATTGTGCGAAACACACTTCCACAAAAATGGATTGGACTCTGTACATTAGTGCGAATGAAAGTGTCAGTTGTCGTGTTGTATGACGGCGTCGAGGAGATCCTTAAAATCCAGGGAGAAACAGCCAAATTGAACCGCCACAAAAGGCAGATTGACGAACAGGTGTACATCAAAAGTATAGGAGTGCCAATAGGAATTCCAGAGGAGTTTAAAGCTCAGGATGAGATCAGAGCAGGTCTAGAGTCGATTCTCCCCTGGATCACCACTAATAAAAATGTCCAATGGATAAATTATATTTATTACAACCAACAGAGGTTCATTAATGTGACATCTGAAATCCTGAGCGCGCTCGGTATTCAATTACACGCAGCAAGTATAATGGCCCAACAAAATAGACAGGCTTTGAATTGGCTGACAGCGGATAGGGGAGGAGTGTGTCACATGTTCGGGAAACATTGTTGTACCTTTATTCCAAATAACACAGCCCCTGATGGTATATTTTCTGTGGCAATGGGGAAGCTTACAGAACTCAGAGTTGAGCTCAGGGAGAGTGCGGGCAAGGGGGGACTGTCATGGGATTGGTTTGACCAAATTTTAGGAGCCGGTTGGGCTAAGATAGGACTCAGTGCACTAGCAGTCCTAATTTTAATTTCCTTTTTGATATGTTGCATCATCCCCATCCTGAGGAGGCAGTGTCTGCGGGCTCTGGAAAGACAGATGACTGTGGTGGCTGGTCTCCAAAGAGCTGAAATGTTGAACTTGCTGACGCCGTCCCAAATGGCACAACTCTGCTTGGACGACAGCAGGGCAGGAAACGGGGACTATCCGGACTTATACCCAAACCCTGCCTGTGTGGGTGACTCTGATGAGGACGAACAGAGTCAAGTGTAAGGTAAACAAGAAGCAGAGGTGCAGCAGCAGCGAGCAAGCAAAAGGAAAAGCAAATGGGACGGCGGAGCAAATGGACTATCATATCAATACACACATATTCTGTTGTTATCCATGTGTATTCTGCATACTCACATCATTTTCACATACTCATTCCAGGTATATGGAAACAGGTAAAGGAAATGGTTAATCATTTTTTGAGCAAAATAAAACATGTGGTTGATTGTCAGGTAGAGTGGGTCAGTGAAAAGCTGTTAGATTTAGAAGGTTCACGGAGAAGGTCGCCAGCGGGAGGAGCCGCAGGGGAATTTCCTGCTCAAAGCAGCCAGCAGGTTTTCGCCCCTGCCAGATGTGAACCAAGTCACAAGTGATTTAAGTGTTGTGTTTATGAAAATGTAACATTTGTGATCACAAGCAGGAGTTGGATTGGTTTGAAAACATACATATGCATCTGTAATCAATCTAGTAGTATCATATCACATAACGTTGTCATAACTCATTCATGTAACGTAACTAAGGCTAAGACAAGATAAGTGTGAATCTCCAACGGCGTCATTGAACTCGTTTAATCTTGAAAAGATTCAAAGGGGGGATATGTGGGGGAAAAATAACAGATATGTTTTGGATGTTTTGGAGGTTACTATGAGGCAAGAAAGCAGGATATGGTTGGAGAGGTCAGATTGGGATAAACTTCATCAGGTCATGGTGAACTGTATTACAATAAAAGGAAATTTGGCAGAGGAAGATGGATACGGATGTGCGTCAGAGATATTGGCAGGAAAAGTCACGTAGGGAACTTTCCCACGGGAAAATGACCTTCATACAGTGACCTCGCACACACATTTGGCAAAAGTTGAGATCAGTGTCGTCATTGGATTACTATAAGAGATCTGTGGTTTTTCTGTTCTGGGGTCTGTCTGTTCGACTGTTCATGAGCTGTGTTTGATGCTGTGACCAGAATAAAATCCCGCGAGAGGCTGCCAGCTTGATTCTGTCTTCGTGTAGTTCATTCCTGCATTTTTGCACCGAGGTCATCTTCTAAAAACACAACACAAACTCAAGTTCAACAAACACCACAAACTCAAGTTCAACCAACACCCAATCCTAAAGTTCAAAAATTTCCACAAGGTCAAGTCCAAAAACGCCAATACCTCAAGTTCAAAAAACACCACAAATTCAAGTTCAAACACGCCAAAAACTCAAGTTCAACAAACGCCAGAAACTCATGTTCAACAATTGCAACCAACTAAAGTTCACTAAAAACCACAGAATCAAGTTCAACAATTGCCAAAACCTCAAGTTCAGAAACAACAAACTCAAGGTAAAAAAACACACAAACTCAAGTTAAAAAAACACACAAACTCAAGTTAAACAAACAAGCAACCTCAAGTTCAAAAACACCACAACCTCAAGATCAAACACGAAACAAACTCAAGTTCAATCAAAAACCAAATCTCAAGTTTAACAATTCCCTCAACCTCAAGTTCAAACACGCCACAAACTCAAGTTCAAAAACACCACAACCTCAAGCTTAAAAAACACCACAAACTCAAGTTCAAACACTACACAAACTCAAGTTAAAAAAGACAACACAAACACAAGTTCAACCAATACCCAATTCTAAGGTTTAACAATTTCCATAACCTCAAGTCCAAAAACGCCAATACCTCAAGTTAAAAAAACACCACAAACTCAAGTTCAAACACTCCAAAAACTCAAGTTCAACAAACACACAAAGTCGAGTTCAAAAACACCACAACGTTCAAACACGACACAAACTCAAGTTCAACAAAAACCACAAACTCAAGTTCAACAAATGCAACCAACTAAAGTTCACTAAAAACCACAGACTCAAGTTCAACAATTGCCACAACCTCAAGTTCAGAAACATTAAACTCAGGTTCAAAAAACACACAAACTCAAGTTAAACAAACAAGCAACTTCAGGTTCAAAAACACCACAACCTCAAGTTCAAACACGACACAAACTCAAGTTCAACAAATGTCAAACTTTTAAGTTCAACGAACACCCAAATCTCAAGTTTAACAATTTCCACAATCTCAAGTTCAAAAACAACAAACTCAAGTTCAAAAACACCACAAACTCAAGATCAACAAACATACAAACTCAAGTTCAAAAACACCACAAACTCGAGTTCAACCACGACAAAAACTCAAGTTCAACAAACACACAAACTCAAGTTCAACCAACACCTGATTCTCAAGTTTAACAATTTCCACAACCTCAAGTTCAAAAACAACAGAAACCCAAGTTGAACCAACACCCGATTCTCAAGTTTAACAATTTCCACAACCTCAAGTTCAAACACGACACAAACTCAAGTTCAAAAACACCACAAGCTCAAGTTCAAAAACACCACAAACTCACGTTCAAAAACGACACAAACTAAAGTTCAACAAATGTCAAAGTTGAAGTTCAACCAACTCCTGAATCTCAATTTAACAATTGCAACAACCTCAAGTTCAAACACGCCACACAACTCAAGTTCAACAAAAGAAACAAACTCAAGTTCAACCAATACCTAATTTTCAAGTTTAACAATTTCCACAACCTCTGGTTAAAAAACACCACAAACTCAAGTTCAAAAACATCACAAACTCAAGTTCAAACACGCCAAAAACTGAAGTTCAACAAACATAAAAACTCGAGTTCAAAAACGCCACAACATCAAGTTAAAACACGCCACAAACTCAAGTTCAAAAACACCACAAATTCAAGTTCAAAAACACCACAAACTCAAGTTCAAACACGACACAAATTCAAGTTCAACAAATGTCAAACTTTAAAGATCAACCAACACACAAATCTCAAGTTTAACAATTTCCCCAATCTCAAGTTAAAAAAAAACTCAAGTTCAAAAACACCACAATCTCAAAATCAACAAACACACAAACTCAAGTTCAAAAACACCACAAACTCAAGTTCAACCACGACACAAACTCAATTTCAACAAACACACAAACTCAAGTTCAACCAACACCTGATTCTCAAGTTTAACAATTTCCACAACCTCAAGTTAAAAAAACACCACAACCTCAAGTTCAAAAACGACACAAGCTAAAGTTAAACAAACAGCTCAAACTCAAGTTCAACAAATATCTTACTTTTAAGTTCCACCAACACCCAAATCTCAATTTAACAATTGCAACAACCTCAAGTTCAAACACGCCACAAACTCAAGTTAAAAAACACCACAACCTCAAATTCAAAAACACCATAAACTCAAGTTCAAAAACGACAAAAAAAAAAACAAAAGTTACACAAACACCATAAACTCAAGTTCAACAAATGTCAAAATTTTAAATTCAACCAACACCCAAATCTCAAGTTTCACAATTGCAACAACCTCAAGTTCAAAAACGCTACAAACTCAAGTTCAAACACGACACAAACTCAAGTTCAACGAACACCAAAAACTCAAGTTCAACAAATGTAAAAAAATTTAAGTTCAACCAACCAACCAAGTTCAA